TTTTGTTTTTAAGGTTGAGGTACGAGTATACATATGTTCATGGTTTACCTACATGTACATTCAGCATAATGATATCCCTATTTAACCGGTGTATTTTGTCAAAGACTTATGTATTATAATATTTCTCTGATTTTCTTAAACTGCCTAACACTTCAAAATATGAAAAATGTAATGTGAAATCTAAAACTGAAGATGAATCATAGAGGACTATAAGTCAAAAGATCACCGATATTGCTTGACTAAAGCAATGACCACGTTGTCAGATTATATAATGTCACGTGAGTCGTGTTTACGATTGAAAGGTTTCGTTGGAATTAACAGAAAATCGAAACATTTATTATAATTAATTAAACAGAAAACATAAAACAATATGTTGTATCCGACTCTGTATCTGACATGTGATCAATTATCGCGTTATATATAGTCACGTGATTTATTTATTAATAATTGATATAGTGTCTGTATTCGTATTAGCCTCATCCTTAATTTCTGTCTAAAAAAATGTTTCAATTTTTATGTGATTACTTTTTGTTAACCTTGAGTTAGTCCATGAACGAGATAAAAAGAAGAGTTGGGCTCTAAAAAAACAAGTTTAAAACATTAGATGTTTCGGTTTGTCTGTCCAAGTCCAAGGTATAGAATCTCATTAGTTGCTTTGTCATATCTTAATGAACTTGTCCTTTGGTTACTGTTAGTATATGTATACATATTCTGTTTGAAACTAAAGTATGGCCGAGCAAAAACATACCGTGGGATCTGTAATGTCTTTTGTTGTATCTGTCACATACTTAAGTCTTGTAATAATTTCAAACACAGCCATGAACTAACATACTACCTATTAATAATCACAATTTTATTCATTTATTGTGTTAAATTTCCATTTAAAGTGGAATTATATGTCTTTATCGATATGTCACGGAAACGTTTGAAAGCTACATAGAAAATAAACAATACCTTTGTTTAAAGTTGACACGGAACAACGGAAACTGATCAGAAATCAAATAAAAATCTCCGTATTTCTCAGTGTCAAGAATCCATAATTAAATAAGGCTGTTTGAACTTCAACCATTACTGTTTTCCAGGGTTTTTTTTTTATTTAATCTAAAACCCTGCGAATGCCATTCACCTTTTGACCGATAAGACCTCAAGCTAACATCATAATCCAGTTTTAAAATCATTTGTTTTATGATTTTTACCTTTAATTGATACTGTTACATCCATAAATAAAATATTTATATAAAAAGAATAACTCTTTCACAAATTCTATGTGTCCGAAGCTCTTTTCTTGATTAACCTTCAACAAAGCCAAATATTTGAAAGGCAGGGGCGTATAAATGTTTAAAAGAGAGGGTGTACAAAAATAAGACAGCAATATAACGATACAAATAAATACTGGATGTGACTGAATTTTCTGTGAATCTGTTTGTAATCTTTGTTCTGGAGTCATTAATTATGTTGCTTGATGAAAATACTGCAATTTATGCCTTTAGTTTTATCATTTGAATAGTTTTACATTTTGTCATGTCGGTGCCTTTTAAATAATACATGAATGAAGGACCCCTATCAAGACCCTCTTACAATGACGTTAAATATTCAATTGCCATAAAAACGTTGTTCATTGGTCATATAAAGGAGATCAGCAATATGCAGCAACCAGAGATAACACGTTGTTATTTTTATCATATTGAAAAGATTGCCATTTAAAATACAACAATCTCGCGTAATACCGGCCGTGCAAGAACCTCATGGGTAGTCAAGGTCGTTTACCCCCCCACCGCCCATCTTCCATCAATCAATCTCGCGTCGCTTTTTTAACATTAATATACAATGTTAGTCCAGAGAAATGGCGTATGATGAGGATTTAATGAAATTACAATTGAAATTCGGTAAGAAATCTTTGAGTAAGATGATACTGTAAGTCTAGACAGACACAAGTCACTTGACACTCCGTGATTTAACACATCACATATTTCAGGGTCTGGATGGGGTTTACAGAAAAGAGAATAATGGACAAAAAGTGCAGAATAAAGGTCTAAAAAAATAAAGAACACAGGAAAATAGTAAAAAAAAGAAAGAATAAAGAATAATGGGTTGCTGAAATACACAGCACAGCATAGAGAATACTTGGCAAAATAAATAAAGAATAGAAAATATTGATCTAAAACATTAAAGAATAAAGTAATGCGGGACCACTCCATCCAGACCCTCAGATTTGTAGGATTGATTTCTTGGAAATAACTTAATAATCATTGGAACATCGCACATCTAATAATTACATTTGTACGGAATAATCTAATTTCTGTGACAAATTTGGTTTAAAATAGATTCAGTATTCTATCGTAACGGTTGCCATATTGGTTAAGATTTATTCTTTCTTCAAACTTTTACGGGAACGTCTGTGATGTACATTAACGGCGAGCAAATAGCAATGATGTGTATTGGTTAAGATATATTCCTTCTACAAACCTTTACGGGAACGTCTGTGGTGCACAGAAATGGCGGACAAATAGCTCTAATGTGTAATGGTTAAGATCTGTTCTACAAAATTTAAGAGTATTCATTAGTATTTCATAACAATTCTAATCGAAATTATCGCTCGTTGCGACCTAGTTCGTGTGAACTGACGTAGTTTTAAACCACCATCAATCAATCAATCAAAATTTTCATTAAAGATATTTATATTCAATGTATTTGAAGGAATTTTCCCGCTAACTGCATCGACATCTTTATACTTAGTGTATGACACTTTATAAATTCCTAACATACAGGAAGGTGGAGTGACCGGAGAAAGCCACCGACCTTCGGTAGGAAAATCGTATTTATGAGTCAGGCGTATTGTGGGTGATATCATTATTCATGAACCAAAGTAAAAATCTATAGTTATGCCATTGCTCGAACATCCTTTAAGATATCAAGCAATCACAATGTTTTGGTGAACGCTTTTTAAGATATGGCTCAGAATACGTAATATTCTAAAACTGTGAACTAATAAAGAATTTCTTGGTTACAATAAAAAGTAAGCCCTAGCTGATCACCATGGCGATGACATTTACATGCTTTATTTAATCATTTACACAATGGTTCCTGCAGCTTCTTTTTTTTAAAACCTTATTGTATTTCAGTTCTGTAGCACCAATGAGTTAACAAGATCTGGTAAAAAAAATCTATCTCAATTCCATGCTTGTCACGTAGCGAAGCAGCAGTTATTCAGTAGGTGTACTTATTGCTAATCTTACAGAATATCGATATAAAGAGAATAACTAATGACTGTATAAAACGCGGGGGCGATGCTTCTAGCGGATTCCGTCTTTTATGATCTGGGTTGTCTTTAATTCATCAAGATCTAAAAACCGTTTTTTTTGTGTCTGTCTGAATGTCATTTTCGTGACAGTTGTGGCATTATAAAGATAAGATGCTTCATTGTTAAAACGTATATAAAATGCACGATGCTATTGTCAATAAGTACGGAAGATCAACAAACATATAAAGTATGAATAAAAATAGATTATGTCTGATCTTACAGGCGAAGTTCACTTGAAGCTAGAGTCTCTAGTGTTGTCTGATCTTAGAGGAGGAATTCGCTTGAAACTAGAGTCTCTAGTGTTGTTCCGTCAAAACGAAAAACCATAGAGTATTAAGCTGTAGTTACCCTTAACTTGCAGCCCTGAAGTGCTCGATTTTGATTGAAAAATCGCGTGATTTTGCGATATTTTCTGGATATGTGTACCGATTGTCCGGCATGATACAATGTACATTTTGTATTCAGCGACATTTTTTTTTTTTTTCAAAAGCGTTCAATAAGACGTTTAGCAATTGGTTTGTTACAATACCTAAAGTATATAGTGAACAAAATATAAAATGTCACCGTGTTAAAATTAAACCTTTTTTCACTACCATATTGTTTACAGAAATCTTTAATTTGCCTTATCAATTATGTATGGTTCAAGGATTCATTAATTCAAGGATAGAATTGATCAAATAGGATGTTAATTAATTACTTGCTACAAAATACAATTAGTGGCAACAGCATCATATTCTTCACTGTCACACTATTATTAACTTTATCGATACAAAATAACGTGAGCAATTACAACTTCAACTATGTCCTGATCGGTGATTTTTTTTAAATATTTTTTTTTATTCCATATAGACTATTCTTTATCTCACGTGATTCCTACGGGAGTCTGTTCATTGGCGATACATCATGGAATGTGAAATGGGAAATCTGTCAAAAGTATTTTATGTATAGATGGCGCTTTACAACTGTTTCAACATTGTATTCCCATCACCTGCAGATGTTTTTCGATTAAATATACTTTGTAAGGTTACACTTGGAAATATAATACAATTTCTCCAGAATCTATGAAGGAAGAAACAATTTTCTCGAAAGAACTTCCGCTAGAAAATCTCTTGAGTAAAATTCGTAGGAAGATAAGCGTCAATAAAACATCACGTGATCTGTATCCACGATTATGAATGATGTGTGCAGTCATTCATTCAAAATCTTGATATTGACATTTTGTTTTAAAAAGTCGTCTTTTATATTTGTTTATTTACTTTAAATGTTTCTAAACGGTCTATTTTAATTCTTTTTTCTTCTTTCTTGTATACTGTCGTCCTGAACAAGCACGACATATTTGCCACTGGACGTTAAAAAGACAACATTCAAAAATGTTTCTTATAATGATCTATTGATGTTGAAACTTACTGTTTATTTTTCGTCTATTTTGTCGTTATGTTGTTAATGTTTTTTCTGACAACGTGTTGACCTTCATTCGATTTGTTGTTTGTTTTTTGTTTTCTTTACGTTTTTTTTTTTTTTTTTTTTTTATTGCTTTCATTGTTATGTCGATAAACATTGATTTCTATCTGTTCTATTCTAATTGTTATTAATATATATAAATATCTCAAATTGAAGATGCAATTTTAGGAAAAAACAGTTTTCTTGCATTCTGCTTTACGGTTTTTTACTCAATTTTACATTCTGTTTTTAATTTCAGGTTCTGTCCAAAAGCCATCATCATCTTCATCTTCATCGGTAAGTATACATAATCACTGTATAGCTATTACTGGCAATCATTCATCATCGCCTTATTTTTATATCATAACATTTTAGCAACTTTGAATGTAAAGACTAGAAAGATAATTCAGTATGGGAATTTCGAAATTAAGTATCCGATTTCTGAAATTCGAGATTTGAAATTTGAAATTCAGTATCTAAAACTAATAATCGAAGTTTAGTCTTTGATACACTACAGAGAGTTCGTTTTCGTAGGAAGTAAATAAAAGTGATTTTTTTTTTGCTATCCTTTCTGGATTAACTTGTGACGTTCGGACCAAAGAAAGTTGTCGGTTATAACTTACTTTCTATTAACTTGGACGTGAACACATGATGCGCATGTACCTATATCGTCATATTGAATTATGAGCTACATTATGTGAAAACATACGTCATCTTCTATATTTTTTAATCAATTTAGATTCAACAGCAAGAAAAAGAACTTGAAAAACTGGCAAGATTAGCAGGTAAAATTATCAATTGATGCTGTTTTCTTATAACTTTTTTTCTGCTTATCCTTCCGGAGCACCTGATATCAACCCGGCTTTGATCAATCTCGTGTTGCACAGTCTTTAATTTTCTATATTGTGTTTTGTAGACTGTTGTTTGTATTTTGGTCGTTTTCGTTTTTGCCATGGAGTTGTCAGTTTGTCCTTTGGTCGTTTTCGCTTTTGCCATGGCATTGTGAGTTTGTCTTTTGGTCGTTTTCGCTTTTGCCATGACGTTGTGAGTTTGTCTTTTGGTCGTTTTCGCTTTTGCTATGGCCTCGTCAGTTTGTCTTTTGGTCGTTTTCGCTTTTGCAATGGCGTTGTAAGTTTGTCTTTTTGTCGTTTTTGCTTTTGCTATGGCGTTGTAAGTTTGTCTTATGGTCGTTTTCGCTTTTGCCATGGCTTAGTTAGTTTGTCATCTACGTATGAATTTGAATATTCTTTTGGTATCTTCCGCCTTTCTTTTCAAACATCTATATGTCTTGTATTTTTAACCTTTTGTAACAATAGAAGTGAGTATCTAGGACACCCTTTATCAGGTCATTGATATCTAACTTTTTTTCTCCACGAATAACTGTGTTCAATGTTGTTTTCCCTTGTATCGTCATTTAAGCAATACAAAACATTCAAACTGTGCCCATTTTGTTTTAATTAATTAAATCATTACCATGTTTGTTGGAAAGAGTTATTTTCATTAGTAGGAATATATATTTGTTGTTAAAGAAAAATGTTACATTTCAAAGAAAAGCATTAAGAACCCGTTATAAATCTAAAAAATGCGCATCATTGACAAATTCCAATGAAGTACATTTTTTTCATCATTCTTATTTTCTCATTTGTTATTTCAAAATCAACTGCGCATCAATTTCAAAACGAAGATATAAATAATAAAGTTTCCCTTTAAAAGAAACAATGAATTATTGCTTATCGCATCAAAAGTGATGGAATTTCCTAACAAAACAAATGAGATAAAAACCCTTTACCGACAGAAATTTTGATTTAACAGATGAGCCAATAACTAATCAGAGAATTTTCCTTTCCATTAACTCCGTTAATAAACGGATGTCATAAATTTGATCTTATCTATGAACAAAAGTTCATGTCATAAAACAATTTGATTGCTGTTTCCTACTATGATGTCAGCCATTTACGTTCGATAAGTCAGATATAAAATAATCGGAATGAAGACGTGATTTACTTCACTTGTCTCTAGAAGGTCATGCACTAACGTCTGAATTCGTCGAATCAGAATCGAACTGACTTATTGGTAATGTGCACTATTCAAACCCCAAAAATTAAAAAAAAAACAGGCCATGCCATTGGTTGAATTTCACTTGTTTTTGACGTTTTAAACCAATTGGTGTTCCCATTTGAAATTTTACCCAGAATACATCAGAATCCAGAATTGGGTACGAGTCATTTCCCGTTTCCGGAAAAACAATACAATAACAAGCTACGCAAAGAAGTAGATATAAAATATTATTATACTTCATGTCAAATTGAAAGATTTTGATTGGTTAATACGAGGGAGATAATTTACTCTATCTGATGGCAAATACTCTATTAGCCTTCACACAGACGCTTGAATAATTATGCGCTTTATCAAATACATTACATATATGTTATGTACAAGACGAAATAGTTTACTTGCTTCTGTATTCCATAACTTCTGCCAATCTAGGCACACCTCCAGAGTCGTGTCTATTTGTAAATGTTTTAATTTTTAACAAGTAAAGTGAACAAAATTTTAAAAGCATGGGTGTATAACGCACACTCTTAAAGTAGAACAACATCATTTTCACTGAAACTAAATATTTATTGCTGTTTACAATTATATGTTATTAGCATACCTAAACATTCATATATATCTGAATAAATTAGATACAGAACTAGTAATCAAAATCGCAAGTCAATGACCAGCTGTAAGAACTTATAAAAACCACACTCCACAAAAACATATTGACAACTAAACACTGAACAGCTAGTTTAAAATTTCAGAAAAGTTCATCTTAATATATGTACAAAAATTGATATTCCAAGTCTAAGACATCCATTTTATATCAATCAATATCTAAAAATACCACATTTTCAATACTAAATCAACAACCACATGCACACATATTACCTTAAATTAGGATGGAACGACGCAGTCCACAGCTTTTTAGAAAGCTCAAACTTGTTTTACTTTAAATTTGAAATTTGATAGACAGTAACAGAACATTCAGTGTAATAAATTAAATAACACATAGCTGAGAGGATGATAAGTAAGTAGGTAAGTAAAAGTTTATTTGGATTCGGCATATTTGACAAAGATATTAAACACAAGCTCTAATGAGCTTTTCACCGATTATAAAAACATATACAAAAACAAATAAAACAAGGCATGCAGCATACAAATAAATAGTAATAAAACAGCACCTCATTACCTCTAGCATATACATGTATCTTGCTAACACTAAAACATATATATGAAGCACTACGACAGGAACAATTTTAAAAATTTGCAGCTAAAAAATTTCAGTAAATAATGATAGAGTTTCATTTTTTAAATATTGAATTCAAACATTGTTTAAGCTATTCAGGAGTTAAGCTTTAACTTAAATTGTATAAAGAAAACGTCACTGATTCTGCAGTTACGTCTTTTGTATACTATTCTTTGCGAAAATTAAGCCTTTCGATCTGATAACCCTCGGCTTTTGTCTGTCTATTGATGACATAAAATCCACCAGTAAAGCAAGTTAATTTAGACGTTATTCTCCCGTGGTCGTAGATTATTCTCCCATGGTCGTAGATTAATCTGTAGAACATTCATAATTGTCAATCCTTAGCGGTGATATATGGCTTCGATAACATTGTCTAGAAGTCAATGACACCGACCACGTGACACCGACCCGGGAGACAATTTATATCAGGAACAGAATCCGTTTCAACAAGCATAAAAAAACCCGTCTATCTTACGTCAGACTCAACATTTAATTTCAATGGTCTTTATAAGATTTACTTTTATTTTAAAATTGGTATTTGCTACTGCCCTGCTAAGCACATGGCTTTAGTACGGAAAAAACTGATCGGTTAGCTTCTCCGACAAGCATAAAAAATTATGACTTTTAGAATGAGAAAAGATTGGTTTGCTAGCTTCTCGGCCAGGCATGTGGCTTTTATTACAAGAGAAGACTGATCGCAAGTCAGGAGAATATGAATGAGTAGGGTATTTATGTTATCACCCAAATCTGCGCTTCTCCTCCGGCAATCATGCTGCATGTACATTCTAGTACGAGAAAAAACAAATCGCAAGGAGTCATAATAATATGAGTATTTTAAAATCTTCCCGCGGACTGTTACCTTGTGAGCTATATGTAGCATGTTAACAATCACATTCAACGTGTCGGTCTAGTAATAAGCAGGGTAAACTAATACCACACTCCCGTGTAATCATCTTAAAATGTCTGCCTTATTTGCGGTTGAGTGCTATAAAATCTCAAACCTTTTGTGTTTGAAGCATCCAATAAAATAATTGATATAATAAGCAATTCATGTAGGTCCTGTGCTGTCGTTAAAGGGAGATGTCCGTTGTTATTCTGTGGTTTACATGTTGTAATGTACTATTATATTATTTATTTATGCATTTCTCTGTGCTGAGTGTTCTTGCGTTTGTTTGTACTGTAATCTGGCACATAGTGTTGTCATTTTAGCGATATTTTTAAACATTGCCATATAAGCGGGAGGTTTGGCTAGTCATAAAACCAGGTTCAACCCACCATTTTTTTCTTAAAATGTCCTCTACCAAGTCAGGAATATTGCAGTTGCTATCAAATAGTTCGCTTCTGTGTATGGTCGCGTTTGTTTTTGTTGCAGTTCAGTGTTTCTGTTGTTCCGTTGTTTTTCTCTAATAGTTGATGTGTTTCCCTCGGTTTTAGTTTGTAACCCGGATTTGTTTTCTCTTAGTCGATTTATGACTTTTGAACAGCGGTATACTACAATTGCCTTTATTTACTACTAGAAGATGCCCGCGAAATCGCGGTACAATTGGGAAAGTGATGAAACAAAGAGTGTCAAGGGTGCCTGTGTTTACACATAAAAAGGGGGAGGGGTCCAGATGTCGGGTGCCTGTGTTTACACATAAAAAGGTGGGAGGATCACTACACTTCGACACGTTCAATGCCCATTTCATTTTTGGACAGTTCTGCAACTGAGTAAAAAGGGTGGATGTCGTTTAATTTAGCAAAATGATGCACTTACAATACAATACAGCATCCTTATATGCCTAACTGTCCTATTTTCTATCATTTCTTCTTAGTTTCACTTGGATTTCGCGGGCAGTATGTCGACTGAGCATGCAAGAAAGCGTATAAGACGCGGACCGATAACGGTGTTCGAATTTGGATATTTCCTCAAAAATTGGCGTTTTCTGTGGAAAAAAGATTGTTTTAAAGAAAAATTTAGGAAGTACAAAACACTACATTTATACGTCATATCACAAGTATTTCCGACTTTGTATGGTTTCAGAGGAGTTGCGGCTCAATGAAATCGTTCGCTTCCTTTAGTAGTAGAGATAAGACAAATACGTTACTAACATCATGGAGATATATTATATTTCGCTGAATTTTTTGCACTAATGAGACAGAGGTCCTTCTTTTTTATTTTGCAAAACACAGTATAATTGATTGTCTTTTAACTTTTAAGAATTTCTACAGAATCATCACTTTCTTATATTCTTATTGATAAAACTAGAATTTATCAAGAAACCAAGGATCCCACTTTTACAGGCTGAGTTGATTATTTAGTGGATTTTGCTATGCTGTATGGGGCCCTTTAGGTCATATGACGACTAAAAAATTCAAATATCTATACATCCTTGGATTTTAAATGTTTGGTTTGAGCGTTGCCGGTGAATTTATGTAAAAAAAAAGCACTTCGGACACAACAAATATATAAAGTGTTATTTGCATCATCTGATAAAATGTCAAACATTATGTTTC